CCCGACCACCACCAGGGCCTGTGCGCCGAGGTCCCGACCTACCACCACGGGTCCCACTGCCTCCACTGCCGCCACTCCCTCCGCTGCCGCCACCGCCGCCACCAGAGCCTCCACCGCCGCCACAGTCCCACCGCCGCCACCAGAGCCTCCACCGCCTCCTCCTCCTCTACCGCTGCCCCCACTACCACTCCCACTGCCACCTCCACCACCACCGCTGCCTCCTCTACTACCCCGGCCACCCTTGCCCTTGCTGTTGCGGCGCTTCGCACTAGTCGAAGCAGCACCGACGTCCTCAGGAACAGAGACGTCTGCAGCAGCAGCAGAGGCGAAGGAGGAGGAAAGGGGGGAGGGGGAGCACCCCTCAAAGAAGGGTGAGCGCGGAGTGCCACGAGCAGCACCTACAGCAACTGCACTAGTCTCGGCTGCGAGGAGATGCTGCTCGAGGAGGTTAACAGTGAGGGAGGTGGGGTCGAGGGTGAGGGAGTGGTCCCTAACAGAGCGAAGGGAGTCAGAGAGGCGAGTGACTATGAAGTAGAGGGTGATGAACATGGGGGGCTGGTTCGTGGGAAGGAACTCAGCAGGCACGGCAGCGCGGTAGCGAGCGTCGCTAGTGCGCAGGTGGGTAATCAGGTCGGCTACTGTGGCAAAAGCCGACAGCTCAGGGAAAAGGTAGGGCAGTAGCAGCCTGCCAATCGCAGCAGTGGCAGGGGAGGAGTAGCGAGCAACGACAGCGTCGTACAAGGCCTGTGCTGTCCTGTGCTCGCCAAAGTGAGCACATTCGGTCGCGGGCATGTGGTTGCGAATGGCCAAGCGGGCAGTGGCATCACGAGACAGCCACTGGGAACGAGTCAAAACGTCAGCTGTGGCGGGAGGGGCTGGAGCGGCACCGGACACGTGGTCAAACAGTGAGACACTGTCCTTACTATCGCTCAGTAGGTACAGTTACAGATCGTCGTGCCACGTGTCAAATGCTACAGGTCTGCCCTCCGAGTCGAACGGGAGAACCCTAAGCGACGCCATAGCGAGCAGCAGTAGCGAGGGGGCGGAGCCGAGGGGCCAAACAAGAGGGCCTAGGGGGGCCGAGAAGCCTAGGGGGCCGAGAGGCCTAGGGGGGCGAGGGGCCAAACAAGAGGGCCGAGGAGGCCGAGCCTAGTAGCCGAGGCTAGGGGCCGAGGGGCCAAGGGGTGGGGCCGAGGGGCCAAACAAGGGGCCGGGCGCTGGGCAGGTACGGAGCCGAGGGGCTTAGGGGGGGCCAAGGAGGCCGAGCCTAGGGGCCGAGGGGCCAAACAAGGGGACGGGGGGGCTAGGGGGTCGAGGGGCCAAACACACGGGGCCGAGGGGCCAAACAAGGGGCCGGGCGCAGGGCTCTGATTTGGGGCCGAGGTGCCTAGGGGCCGAGGGGCCAAACAAGGGACCGAGGGGGCCTAGGGGGCCGAGGGGCCAAACACACGGGGCCGAGGGGCGGGGCCGAGGGGCCAGACAAGGGGCCGGGCGCAGGGCTATGAATAGGGGGCGAGGGGCCTAGGGGCCGAGGGGCCAAACACGGGGCCGGGGGGCCTAGGGGGCCGAGGGGCCACACACACGGAGCCGAGGTGCGGGGCCGAGGGGCCAAACAGGGGGGCGGGCGTAGGGCTAGGTACTGGGGCCGGGCGCGGGCTAGGTACGGGACCGGGCGCTGGGCAGGTACGGGGCCGGGCGTTGGGCTCTGTATTGGGGCCGATGGGCCTAGGGGCCGAGGGGCCAAACAAGGGGCCGGGGGGCCTAGGGGGGGCCAAGGGGCCAAACACACGGGGCCGAGGGGCGGGGCCGAGGGGCCAGACAAGGGGCCGCGCGCAGGGCTCTGAATAGGGGCCGAGGGGCCTAGGGGCCGAGGGGCCAAACACGGGGCCGGGGGGCCTAGGGGGCCGAGGGGCCACATACACGGGGCCGAGGGGCCAAACAGGGGGCCGGGCGCAGGGCTAGGTACGGGGCCGGGCACGGGCTAGGTACGGGACCGGGCGCTGGGCAGGTACAGGCTGGTCGCGGGCGTCGACGGGGCGCGGGCTAGGTACGGGGCCGGGCGCGGGTGTCGACGGGGCGATCACGAGCTAGGTACGGGGCCGGGTCGCGGGCTAGGTACGGGCCGGTCGCGGGCGTCGACGGGGCGCGGGCTAGGTACGGGGCCGGGCGTGGGTGTCGACGGGGCGATCGCGAGCTAGGTACGGGGCTGGGTCGCGGGCTAGGTACGGGCCGGTCGCGGGCGTCGACGGGGCGCAGGCTAGGTACGAGGCCGGGCGCGGGTGTCGACGGGGCGTTCGCGGGCTAGGTACGGGCCGGGCACGGGCGTGAGAAAGGGCCGAGCGCGGGCTAGGTACGGGCCTATCGCTGGCGGGGTGCGGGGCTAGGAACGAAGTAGTAGGTGGTGGGCCCAATAGTAACCTACTCTAATACCATATTAGAATCAGTGATGAGAATGGTTTACTAGGAAGCAAGGAAGGGTACAAGTATAATGTCGAGAGATATTGTGTACCCCCTAAGGCTAAACCCACTATAGCCTAGACAACTGTAAACACATAAACACATATGTTTGACACTCCTCTCCTTCTATGTTGCCATGTCTTGCATTGTCGAAGGTATTTAAGAAAATGAACTTGCCCTGTTTGCTCTCATACCATGTTGGGTTGAGAAAGGCCCTTAGGATCTTTCAAGGCTAAGATCAGTGTTGAAGTAGAGATGTTGTAATTGCGGAAGCGTTAATATAAGAATTGCTTGAACCACCTTGTACTGGTGTGTGAGAACAAGATAAGTTGATTAATAGCAGGGAAATACAAGGCTTTTATATGATTACAAAGGAATATGAAAGGTTCTACCTTTTAACTGTTTTGCTGTTGCGGTTCGATATAGTGTCGACTCTGGTAACTGCTCAGTAACGAGTCAGTTATGTGTCCTTGCTGTCGCACTGTACTTTTTCGTCAAGTCAAAGGTCAGCGACCTTTGACCTTCGCGTAACCTCCAGCGGTTGCTTTGGTTGACTCGTGTGTTTCTTCGCTGTAGTCTGCTCCGTTTCGTGTTGATACTTCGATACTTCAGAAGCGTTTAAATTACTTGTTTCCAACAACCGTTACCACTGTAGCTTCGCTATATATCCTTCGCTCAATCCTTCGCTCAATTGTATTCTTGTCTCGATAGTGCAATCCTCGCTCGCTCGCTCAATTGCACTCGTAACAGCTATCATGTTAATGGAAGAATAATTAATGGGTATACTACCGTATACAACAGTCATTGCAGTCTCAAGAAGCACTGTATATAAAAGCAATCTGCACTGGATTGTCAGGGTGTTAGGAATATGAATGTTATTAGTTAGGTTCTGCTACTGGTCATAATACTGCAGTTTCCAAATACCAGAGAGTTTTTTGTTACATATGCCATACATAATAATGCGTTCATTTACCGTAAGTAGCACAATCTCCCAATCGAATCTCCTAGCTTGGTTCCGTCAGTTTGCCAAGACCAACCTGCCGTCAGGTTTCGGCGGGTGGTGCTGAAAGTTTGGAGGTTTTGGCGCGTCGCTGGCTTTGCACACGTCACGGAGAGCGTCGCACGAGGATGACCTGGAGGATTCTCGTCGCACATGTCCTTGCAGCTCACCTCGGTTTTTTCGCACGGGAACGAGATTCGTCATCAACGTTGTGGAGGTACGCCTTCGAGCCGCCGGTTTGGGACTTTCAATTCGGGTAACTTTCGTGGAATTCGCGCCAGGAAGGGCTGAGCTGTGGCCCAGAGAAGCGTCAGACACTGAAGATGCCACGTTTCGACGCGCCTCGCAAATATGGAGTAGCAGAACCATTTGGACCGAAGAGTAACCTTGAAATTACTTCCTAACCGTTCACGGCATGCCTATCATTGATGAATCCAGCCCATCACGTCACGTTTCACCACAACATGCGAGGAGTCGCTCACGTCACATCTCTCACGTGACAGAAAGCCCGAAACGAAGCCCGAGGCGCCGCGAAACGACGGCACCTCGATGACATTCCCACCTCTTGCTCAGCAAGCCAAATCATCAAGCCAAGCATCACCAAGGGCTCCCTTCATGCCGATTCCGACGGCCAGAACGGGTAATGTGGGACAGACACCCTTGGGACTTCCGCTCTGGGCCCTGGGGCACCCCATCAGATGATGGTTCTCCAGCCTTTCTTGTCTCATCCCAAACTGATGCCTCCTTGGGCTTGGACTGTTTCTCAGGCGGGAGCCGTGGGATGAACTGAAACGGAAAGATATCGGCAAGGCTACTCACCGCCACCAACCATTGGCTTTGAATTTTGCCTTCAAGACACCGCGCTTCGTTGCGAGGCCGTGAGCACGGTCGGGAAGACCCAGGGCAAGGCGAGGCGAGGGAGCTCCGTAGCGTTGTCCGTGCTTCTTACTGCTTCTTCCGGCTTGCCGCCGCCGCCGCTCCCTTGTGATGCGTGGAGAAAATAATTTCCCATCGAGCCACACACGCAGCAGCAGAGCGAACATCCCAAAGGTTAGCATCCGACGGCTCGCATCGCATCCCATCATCCCATCGTGCACATCAGCGACTGCACTTCCCCTCGAGATCTCCTCAGCCAAACGACCTATTCTCTCTCCTTATCGTCGCCCTCGTAGTCCCTTGCCTTTTCCAACCCACATCATTTAAAGATTCGCTTTCAAGAGAACACGTTCGCTTACGGTATCTGACAGGTAGGGATCCGTAAGGTTAGTTGGTTCGTCCCTCTACGTCACACTAGACGACCGGCGTTTACATAGTAACCTAGCTTTTGTAGCATCTATGTCAGTACATAGCTTTGCGATTTGACATGCGCTTGCTGTCAACATCAGTAGTGCTCCATTGTTAGCTCACTCCTCTTGATAAGAGCCTATCCTTCTCTTTCATCAAGTAGATTTTACTTCGTACCTTAATTTGTCATCCGTAGGTCAGCTGTCATCACTAGGTTACGAAGAGCATTCTTTCACAAATCATTTGACCTTCCGAAACGATGACGATGGAAGCCGAGATAGTTGCTGACCGACGACTTCTCAGTCAGGGCTCGTCTGCTTCACGACAGTTGGCCAAAACTTCAAGATTACCAGAAACTCTTGTCGTCGCTCTCCTGGTGCTCGCCTTTCTCCCGAGTCCACTATTCTGCGAAGGCTTGGTATCCGACTCATCTACGGAATCGACAACATCGTCTTCGTCAGAAACTGCCAAGCTATCGCATCCGTTCCATAAAAATTTTCGCGTGACATGGGGAAACGTGACTGTATCGGATGACGGCCGCGCGGAGTTATCTCTTGATAAGGCGTCCGGATCTGGCTGGTCGTCCAATCAGCCGTATCACAACGGGTGGTTCTCTGCATGGATCAAAGTGCCGTCCGGGTACACGCCAGGCGTTGTCACGGCCTTCTATGTACGTCGCAAATAACGTCTCTTGCATTCCATGTGAGCCACTGTGCAGGTAATTTCGTTTCTTGTTGTCCGTCGCAGTGCGCCTGGTTTTATAAAAGCCGGAGTGCACTGAACACGAACCCGTCTGTGCTGGTGATACCCTCCGGTTCGTCGTTCTCATTTAACACGATCCCGTGTTCTTTCCCTCTCTCTCCCCCACCCATCCCCGCTTATCCGTCCGCGTGCAACCCCTCTCCCTCACCCCACCAGCTGCACTCGGAGTGGAACAGCTCGTGGCCCGGCGACTTCCACGACGAGGTCGACATGGAGTTTCTCGGCGAGCGCTTCTCAAGTGACGTGATTCTGCAGACCAACTGGTACGGCCAGGGCGTCGGCGGCCACGAGGAGCGCCTCAAGCTCTGGTTCGACCCGGCGGCGGACTACCATCACTACGCGTTCCAGGTCAATCCTGACTGCATTCGTTGGTTCGTCGACGGGATTCTGATTCGCGAGGCGTGCAAGGCGGCGGTGGGGAACGACCCGTTCCCCTCATCGTCGATGTTTCTGGTCGCGTCGCTGTGGGACGGGAGCTCGTGGGCGACGCAGTACGGCGCGCTGAAGATCGACTGGGCGCACGCGCCGTTCCGCGCCGGGTTTCACGGGCTGTATGTGGACGGGTGTTACTGGCGACAGATGGACGAGAAGGATCCGCCGGCTTGCGCGCAGACGCGCGGGAATCGCGACTGGCAGCCGACGTGGGAGAAGGGGGTGGAGGAGAAGGATTACGTGCTGCTGCGACACACGCAGGCGCATTATCTGACCTACTCGTACGCGCTTGACAAGACGAGGAAGCCGTTCAAGCCTAAACGGACTGCTGAAGCGACGGTCGTAGAAGCGACGGCAGGAGAGAGAGGTAGTCAAACGGAGCAGACGACGACAGCAGCGGCGACGGAGGGACACCAAGGCGGAGTGAAAGGAGGAGCCAAGGATGGGAAGCTTCGTGGGCGAAGAGGGCCGGGGAAACGACTAAGCGCCCAGGGGAGATGAACGGCAAGTTTTGCTGGCGGCACTGATTACTTAACACTACTAAGACTGGCAATTAGATCATGGGACGAATAAAATGGAGATAAGTGTAAGGGGAAAACGTTCAAGGTCTGGGGAGCAGGTGACTATTGGGTTGTGTTCTTTTGGAGTACTAATGGAGCTTTATTTGGGGAAGATTGGGGGGATGTTACTAACACGATGATGTGGAGGGATTGTAGGGGGGAATAATGGAGAGTGTTGATTGCTCCTGTTTCATGTTTCATGTGTGTTTGATCGAGAGCCTAATAACGTGCATACTGCATCTGTGATTTTGCACCATCTTCATGTGTACCATCTTCATATTTTGCACAAACTAAAGATGTGCTGAAATGTTGGAATACTTACGGATTGAAGTGCATTGCACCTCATGATTACATTGGTTTGCTCACATGCAGTCTTGAGTCTGAGGTCCATGCTGGTTTGGGTAAGCATGGCGGTGGTGGTGGTGTTGTAAGTGACGGGGAAGACGGGGATGATCAACTGCCGTACTATATGTGGAGCATGAAATTGCCCCTTATCTACAATGGAGAAAGTTCTTGGAAGGTGGATCAAGACACCCACAGCAAGAAGTGCATCCATTCAATTAACAAGGGGTAAAGAAAGAATACTAATATGTCAAGCACCAGAAGCTAGGAAGCTATTGGCGGTAGTGGGCAAGCTTGAGGATTCTAATTGAAGTTGGCATAAAAAGCTTGTAAGAGTGGACATTTCCTTACTATTACATTCTACAAGGGAAAACAGTTCCATAGTTACAGTATCATCCTGACCTGTCACCTTTCGCGCCAAGTCCATCGAAAGACCCGCGCACGCGCCTACAGTCCCATGTTTTCGCCGTGTTCCTTCCTTCCTCTTTTGCCCCCCGAAATCCTTCACATCCCCTCCCGCAATAATCTACTGTTTGGCCTCTTCTGCCTGCCTCACTCTCTCTCGTTGGGACCAGGTCAGCAGGGGGAATGGCGGCGTTTGTCCTTGGCAAATGACAAGAACGTCAGCAGCAGCACAGCTGATGCTTTCCTGAAGTGCACTCTAGAGTAGATGCTTCCCAAGACTGTGAATGTCATCTGCTGCTGACGTCGATGGCCTAGCCGCAGTTTTTCATTGCCGTTTTTAACGGGAGGTGCTAGATACAGCAGCATACAGACCGACAGGCTTGCCAGCAAGTCTCGCGACGTCTCAAAACCTTTCTTGCTCTGTCAGCTGGAGACGCTAGATACAGCGGCACAGCGAAACCGGCCTACCAGCAAGCAAGGGGGTGCTTAGTGTCGCCTGCTACTTACTCGCACCTTGTGTTCGAACTAAGTAACATCGTTCCGGCAGCGGCTATTCAGGGTTCGTCGATCCTTCGCCAGTCTGCTGACCCGCGGCATTCCTCTATCCGTCGCCCCCATTTTGACAGTCTCTGGGGAGATCTCTCTCCTCCTTGCACTCCAACATCGTCGTCCCCGCGCATTGTACGGTCATGCTCCACTCATCCCTCTCTCTATTATCGTTATTCCAGTCAAGCTTCTCTCGGCTCTGTTTTCCCGCTGCTCTGCCACTCGACATCTTTATTGTATAGCTATTTATATCAACCCTGCTCCTGCTGTTATCTAAACCGACTGGGCGAGCCGTTCCCTTTTCGCGGTCTACTCCTGTTATTGTTCGTTCTTAATATCTCGTCAGTGTTCCCCAGCGTTCCTCTCCGCAAACCCTTTATAAAACCGCCGCATCGCGTTTGACTTGCCTGGATATTCCTTCTCCCGACGGCCCATTCGCGAGCTTGTTCCGTTCCTTCCTAGATTGATCCAAGTCGCCAGCGCTAACTGACGGTTTCCGTCCAAATACCGCCCACTACTCGAGTCACGCGTCACAATCAGTCACCAGTGCTGCCTGCCTTTTCAGTCGCTCGTTTAACCTATTTCAGCTACTTGTATCGAGCTCAAATGCAGCTCGAACATTCCTTCAACCAAAAAGCCTCCAGTAATTTAACGAGTCGTTGCAAGGTCGCCGCTGTCGCTGCCGTCGCGAAAGTTCGCAGCTGTCGCAGCTTCGTCCTCCGCGTCCACGATGAGAACCGTTAAATTTCCCACTTCCGACCAAAGTAACCGTTAATCCCACAGCATTCCTTCTACTTTCTACTGCTCTCCTTTCTAATTTCGACCCGACCTCCCAAACCCCTCGATCCTCCGTAACCCCCCGAGCCCCCCCAGCGACCCCCAAGCCCCCCGTTCCCCGCGCAGCTCCCGATACAGCCAGGTCCACGCGCCTTCCGCTGACGTTCGATCCTTCTGATAATTCTAAGAACGAAACGAACTCCGCCGCTAAACTCGCCGCCCAAACATTCTCTTTCGTCCGCGAACGCCCATGCAATCATTCCCGCCCTCTTCGTACCCTCCGGGTCAAAATGTATGTCTCTTGTGTGTGTGAGTTTTTCCCTTACTCTGTGTACTTGCATCTCGTTCTCCCCCTCCTTCATCACCTCGCAGGCTATACCCGATCCCGGCGCGTCTGGTCGGCACGGCGAAAGCGGGGCATCTGGGAGAGCGCGAAACTGGTTTTTGTTCTCCCGAGTTTGCCGAAGCGCGGGCTGCTGCTACGTCGCGGAGCGCGATGGGAGGGCGGAAGGCGCGGCACCGGATGCACTTGGCCGCGCTAGCGGCGCTCGCCGCCACCTGCTTCGCGCTCGCCGCCGTCACAAGTGCGTCCGCGCGTGCCCGCATTCGCGCCGCCGTTGGTGGGGAGAGTGACGTATTTTTTCCTGTGTTGCTTTGAGCAGCGTCTCAAACCGAACCCATTCTGATTGCGTCACCGTCACCGTCAGCGCGAGTGGCAACGTCTGCGTGTGCAGGAAGTGCAGTCGTTGTCTTAAAAGACACGTGTTTCTGTGCGGTTCGTAATCGCGCTCATATGGACTCCTGTTTTGTTTTCCATGGGTTTGATCCTTTTCCTTATTCTTACCCCTTCCCTCGCCCTGGCCCCCCTCTCCCCCCTCTCCCCCCCCTTTCTCTTCCCCCACTCTCCCGTCTCTCCAAACCCTCGACCAGGCATCCCAGGTGTGGCACGGCACTTATCCTTCCTCTCCATCCACCGCCCCCCCTCCTCCCCCTCCTTCCCCCTCTCCTCCTCCCCCCTTGCATCCTCCGCGCCCCCTCGCCATTTGCTGCTGGGGCGGACCGACACCATCGTGAGCGTTACTGACGGGGAGGGGGAGCTGCGCGGCGGAGGGGGGCAGGGGGAGCGGGGGAAGCAGGGGGGGAACGGGAGAGGCGCGGAGCAGGGGGAGCAGGGTGCGGGGGTGCGGAGAGAGGGGGAGAAGCCGGAGCCATGTGCGCCTGAGGAGGAGGAGCGATGCGAGTGAGTGAAGCACGCGCGTGGGGCGTGTGCGTGTGCGTGTGCGTGTGGGGATAAGGGCTCAGGGTTGGGACGAGGAATGAGTCGCTGATCAAACAACCACTGCAGTGGGTGCTTCTGGTGTATGTTGCTCCGCCATGCCCGAAGTGGGAGGTCCGAGGTTCCAGACCACACTGCAGTTGAACCTCCTAGGGTGCTTCTGATTCTACCCGTTAGATGTCTCTCGCGCTTGACCTGAGAGTGCAGAGCAAGCGGAGATTTGACTCTCGTGCAGGAGCCCATCCACTCGTATACGCATACACACAGTCATCGGACAATGATTCATGGCTCTGAAACGCACACAGTCCCTGCTTCTTTTCCCCACTGATCACCGCTCCCGCCTGCTCTCCCCTGCTCATCTCCCCACTTTACCCCCCCCCAATTTTCCCTTTGATTCTTCCGGGGAGGTGTGCGGCATGCTTCCCTTCAGCACGTCCGCAGATGTGCACTCACAGTCCCCATCCACACACACACACGCGCACTGCTCTTCAACGCACACTCTCCCTGCTTCCTTCTCCTCCTGCCCACCCCCCATCCCCCCCCACCCCCCAGGGAGGCGTACGGCTGGCCGCCGTGCAGCACGTCAGTGGGGGGCAACACGTTCCTCATGGTGGCCGTCACGGCATATTCACCCACACACACTGCTCTAAAACGCTACACTCTCCCTGCTTCCTTCTCCCCCGCTGCTTACCCCTCGCGCCCCTTTGCCTGATCTTCTCCCACCCTCCCAGGGAGGCGTACGGCTGGCTGCCGTGCAGCACGTCAGTGGGGGGCAACGCGTTCCTCATGGTGGCGTACGGTTACATCATCCTCGTTGCTGCCAAGCTCATTTCCGACGGCTCCGAGCTGCTGCTGCAGGTGTGCAGATCGGTGCTAGGTAGTGTGGTGTGGTGTGCAGCCGGTCGATGTGGGTGCAGTGAGGTGGGATGTGGTGGGGAGTGGGAGCGAGAGAGGGTGGGAGCGAGAGAGGGTGGGAGCGAGAGAGGGTGGGAGCGAGAGAGGGTGGGAGCGAGAGAGGGTGGGAGCGAGAGAGGGTGGGAGCGAGAGAGGGTGGGAGCGAGAGAGGGTGGGAGCGAGAGAGGGTGGGAGCGAGAGAGGGTGGGAGCGAGAGAGGGTGGGAGCGAGAGAGGGTGGGAGCGAGAGAGCGTGGGAGCGAGAGAGCGTGGGAGCGAGAGAGCGTGGGAGCGAGAGAGCGTGGGAGCGAGAGAGCGTGGGAGCGAGAGAGGGTGGGAGCGAGAGAGGGTGGGAGCGAGAGAGCGTGGGAGCGAGAGAGTGTGGGAGCGAGAGAGCGTGGGAGCGAGAGAGCGTGGGAGCGAGAGAGCGTGGGAGCGAGAGAGCGTGGGAGCGAGAGAGGGTGGGAGCGAGAGAGGGTGGGAGCGAGAGAGGGTGGGAGCGAGAGAGGGTGGGAGCGAGAGAGGGTGGGAGCGAGAGAGGGTGGGAGCGAGAGAGGGTGGGAGCGAGAGAGGGTGGGAGCGAGAGAGGGTGGGAGCGAGAGGGGGTGGGAGCGAGAGAGCGTGGGAGCGAGAGAGCGTGGGAGCGAGAGAGCGTGGGAGCGAGAGAGGGTGGGAGCGAGAGAGGGTGGGAGCGAGAGAGGGTGGGAGCGAGAGAGGGTGGGAGCGAGAGAGCGTGGGAGCGAGAGAGGGTGGGAGCGAGAGAGCGTGGGAGCGAGAGAGGGTGGGAGCGAGAGAGGGTGGGAGCGAGAGAGGGTGGGAGCGAGAGAGGGTGGGAGCGAGAGAGGGTGGGAGCGAGAGAGGGTGGGAGCGAGAGAGGGTGGGAGCGAGAGAGCGTGGGAGCGAGAGAGGGTGGGAGCGAGAGAGCGTGGGAGCGAGAGAGCGTGGGAGCGAGAGAGCGTGGGAGCGAGAGAGCGTGGGAGCGAGAGAGCGTGGGAGCGAGAGAGCGTGGGAGCGAGAGAGGGTGGGAGCGAGAGAGGGTGGGAGCGAGAGAGGGTGGGAGCGAGAGAGGGTGGGAACGAGAGAGGGTGGGAGCGAGAGAGGGTGGGAGCGAGAGAGGGTGGGAGCGAGAGAGCGTGGGAGCGAGAGAGCGTGGGAGCGAGAGAGCGTGGGAGCGAGAGAGGGTGGGAGCGAGAGAGGGTGGGAGCGAGAGAGGGTGGGAGCGAGAGAGGGTGGGAGCGAGAGAGGGTGGGAGCGAGAGAGGGTGGGAGCGAGAGAGGGTGGGAGCGAGAGAGGGTGGGAGCGAGAGAGGGTGGGAGCGAGAGAGGGTGGGAGCGAGAGAGGGTGGGAGCGAGAGAGGGTGGGAGCGAGAGAGGGTGGGAGCGAGAGAGCGTGGGAGCGAGAGAGGGTGGGAGCGAGAGAGGGTGGGAGCGAGAGAGCGTGGGAGCGAGAGAGCGTGGGAGCGAGAGAGGGTGGGAGCGAGAGAGCGTGGGAGCGAGAGAGCGTGGGAGCGAGAGAGCGTGGGAGCGAGAGAGCGTGGGAGCGAGAGAGCGTGGGAGCGAGAGAGGGTGGGAGCGAGAGAGGGTGGGAGCGAGAGAGGGTGGGAGCGAGAGAGGGTGGGAGCGAGAGAGGGTGGGAGCGAGAGAGGGTGGGAGCGAGAGAGGGTGGGAGCGAGAGAGGGTGGGAGCGAGAGGGGGTGGGAGCGAGAGAGCGTGGGAGCGAGAGAGCGTGGGAGCGAGAGAGCGTGGGAGCGAGAGAGGGTGGGAGCGAGAGAGGGTGGGAGCGAGAGAGGGTGGGAGCGAGAGAGGGTGGGAGCGAGAGAGCGTGGGAGCGAGAGAGCGTGGGAGCGAGAGAGAGTGGGAGCGAGAGAGGGTGGGAGCGAGAGAGGGTGGGAGCGAGAGAGGGTGGGAGCGAGAGAGGGTGGGAGCGAGAGAGGGTGGGAGCGAGAGAGGGTGGGAGCGAGAGAGCGTGGGAGCGAGAGAGGGTGGGAGCGAGAGAGCGTGGGAGCGAGAGAGCGTGGGAGCGAGAGAGCGTGGGAGCGAGAGAGCGTGGGAGCGAGAGAGGGTGGGAGCGAGAGAGGGTGGGAGCGAGAGAGGGTGGGAGCGAGAGAGGGTGGGAACGAGAGAGGGTGGGAGCGAGAGAGGGTGGGAGCGAGAGAGGGTGGGAGCGAGAGAGGGTGGGAGCGAGAGAGCGTGGGAGCGAGAGAGCGTGGGAGCGAGAGAGGGTGGGAGCGAGAGAGCGTGGGAGCGAGAGAGGGTGGGAGCGAGAGAGGGTGGGAGCGAGAGAGGGTGGGAGCGAGAGAGGGTGGGAGCGAGAGAGGGTGGGAGCGAGAGAGGGTGGGAGCGAGAGAGGGTGGGAGCGAGAGAGGGTGGGAGCGAGAGAGGGTGGGAGCGAGAGAGGGTGGGAGCGAGAGAGGGTGGGAGCGAGAGAGGGTGGGAGCGAGAGAGCGTGGGAGCGAGAGAGGGTGGGAGCGAGAGAGCGTGGGAGCGAGAGAGCGTGGGAGCGAGAGAGCGTGGGAGCGAGAGAGCGTGGGAGCGAGAGAGCGTGGGAGCGAGAGAGCGTGGGAGCGAGAGAGCGTGGGAGCGAGAGAGGGTGGGAGCGAGAGAGGGTGGAAGCGAGAGAGGGTGGGAGCGAGAGAGGGTGGGAGCGAGAGAGGGTGGGAGCGAGAGAGGGTGGGAGCGAGAGAGGGTGGGAGCGAGAGAGGGTGGGAGCGAGAGAGGGTGGGAGCGAGAGAGGGTGGGAGCGAGAGAGCGTGGGAGCGAGAGAGGGTGGGAGCGAGAGAGGGTGGGAGCGAGAGAGGGTGGGAGCGAGAGAGGGTGGGAGCGAGAGAGGGTGGGAGCGAGAGAGGGTGGGAGCGAGAGAGCGTGGGAGCGAGAGAGCGTGGGAGCGAGAGAGGGTGGGAGCGAGAGAGGGTGGGAGCGAGAGAGGGTGGGAGCGAGAGAGGGTGGGAGCGAGAGAGGGTGGGAGCGAGAGAGGGTGGGAGCGAGAGAGGGTGGGAGCGAGAGAGGGTGGGAGCGAGAGAGCGTGGGAGCGAGAGAGGGTGGGAGCGAGAGAGGGTGGGAGCGAGAGAGCGTGGGAGCGAGAGAGCGTGGGAGCGAGAGAGCGTGGGAGCGAGAGAGCGTGGGAGCGAGAGAGCGTGGGAGCGAGAGAGCGTGGGAGCGAGAGAGCGTGGGAGCGAGAGAGGGTGGGAGCGAGAGAGGGTGGGAGCGAGAGAGGGTGGGAGCGAGAGAGGGTGGGAGCGAGAGAGGGTGGGAGCGAGAGAGGGTGGGAGCGAGAGAGGGTGGGAGCGAGAGAGGGTGGGAGCGAGAGAGGGTGGGAGCGAGAGGGGGTGGGAGCGAGAGAGCGTGGGAGCGAGAGAGCGTGGGAGCGAGAGAGCGTGGGAGCGAGAGAGCGGTGGGAGCGAGAGAGGGTGGGAGCGAGAGAGGGTGGGAGCGAGAGAGGGTGGGAGCGAGAGAGGGTGGGAGCGAGAGAGCGTGGGAGCGAGAGAGGGTGGGAGCGAGAGAGCGTGGGAGCGAGAGAGGGTGGGAGCGAGAGAGGGTGGGAGCGAGAGAGGGTGGGAGCGAGAGAGGGTGGGAGCGAGAGAGGGTGGGAGCGAGAGAGGGTGGGAGCGAGAGAGCGTGGGAGCGAGAGAGCGTGGGAGCGAGAGAGCGTGGGAGCGAGAGAGCGTGGGAGCGAGAGAGGGTGGGAGCGAGAGAGGGTGGGAGCGAGAGAGCGTGGGAGCGAGAGAGTGTGGGAGCGAGAGAGCGTGGGAGCGAGAGAGCGTGGGAGCGAGAGAGCGTGGGAGCGAGAGAGCGTGGGAGCGAGAGAGGGTGGGAGCGAGAGAGGGTGGGAGCGAGAGAGGGTGGGAGCGAGAGAGGGTGGGAGCGAGAGAGGGTGGGAGCGAGAGAGGGTGGGAGCGAGAGGGGGTGGGAGCGAGAGGGGGTGGGAGCGAGAGAGCGTGGGAGCGAGAGAGCGTGGGAGCGAGAGAGCGTGGGAGCGAGAGAGGGTGGGAGCGAGAGAGGGTGGGAGCGAGAGAGGGTGGGAGCGAGAGAGGGTGGGAGCGAGAGAGCGTGGGAGCGAGAGAGGGTGGGAGCGAGAGAGCGTGGGAGCGAGAGAGGGTGGGAGCGAGAGAGGGTGGGAGCGAGAGAGGGTGGGAGCGAGAGAGGGTGGGAGCGAGAGAGGGTGGGAGCGAGAGAGGGTGGGAGCGAGAGAGGGTGGGAGCGAGAGAGCGTGGGAGCGAGAGAGGGTGGGAGCGAGAGAGCGTGGGAGCGAGAGAGCGTGGGAGCGAGAGAGCGTGGGAGCGAGAGAGCGTGGGAGCGAGAGAGGGTGGGAGCGAGAGAGGGTGGGAGCGAGAGAGGGTGGGAGCGAGAGAGGGTGGGAGCGAGAGAGGGTGGGAGCGAGAGAGCGTGGGAGCGAGAGAGGGTGGGAGCGAGAGAGCGTGGGAGCGAGAGAGCGTGGGAGCGAGAGAGGGTGGGAGCGAGAGAGCGTGGGAGCGAGAGAGGGTGGGAGCGAGAGAGGGTGGGAGCGAGAGAGGGTGGGAGCGAGAGAGGGTGGGAGCGAGAGAGGGTGGGAGCGAGAGAGGGTGGGAGCGAGAGAGGGTGGGAGCGAGAGAGGGTGGGAGCGAGAGAGGGTGGGAGCGAGAGAGGGTGGGAGCGAGAGAGGGTGGGAGCGAGAGAGCGTGGGAGCGAGAGAGCGTGGGAGCGAGAGAGCGTGGGAGCGAGAGAGGGTGGGAGCGAGAGAGGGTGGGAGCGAGAGAGCGTGGGAGCGAGAGAGCGTGGGAGCGAGAGAGCGTGGGAGCGAGAGAGCGTGGGAGCGAGAGAGCGTGGGAGCGAGAGAGCGTGGGAGCGAGAGAGCGTGGGAGCGAGAGAGGGTGGGAGCGAGAGAGGGTGGGAGCGAGAGAGGGTGGGAGCGAGAGAGGGTGGGAGCGAGAGAGGGTGGGAGCGAGAGAGGGTGGGAGCGAGAGAGGGTGGGAGCGAGAGAGGGTGGGAGCGAGAGAGGGTGGGAGCGAGAGAGGGTGGGAGCGAGAGAGGGTGGGAGCGAGAGAGGGTGGGAGCGAGAGAGGGTGGGAGCGAGAGAGGGTGGGAGCGAGAGAGGGTGGGAGCGAGAGAGCGTGGGAGCGAGAGAGCGTGGGAGCGAGAGAGGGTGGGAGCGAGAGAGGGTGGGAGCGAGAGAGGGTGGGAGCGAGAGAGGGTGGGAGCGAGAGAGGGTGGGAGCGAGAGAGGGTGGGAGCGAGAGAGGGTGGGAGCGAGAGAGGGTGGGAGCGAGAGAGGGTGGGAGCGAGAGAGGGTGGGAGCGAGAGAGGGTGGGAGCGAGAGAGGGTGGGAGCGAGAGAGGCGTGGGAGCGAGAGAGGGTGGGAGCGAGAGAGGGTGGGAGCGAGAGAGCGTGGGAGCGAGAGAGCGTGGGAGCGAGAGAGCGTGGGAGCGAGAGAGCGTGGGAGCGAGAGAGCGTGGGAGCGAGAGAGCGTGGGAGCGAGAGAGGGTGGGAGCGAGAGAGGGTGGGAGCGAGAGAGGGTGGGAGCGAGAGAGGGTGGGAGCGAGAGAGGGTGGGAGCGAGAGAGGGTGGGAGCGAGAGAGGGTGGGAGCGAGAGAGGGTGGGAGCGAGAGAGGGTGGGAGCGAGAGGGGGTGGGAGCGAGAGAGCGTGGGAGCGAGAGAGCGTGGGAGCGAGAGAGCGTGGGAGCGAGAGAGGGTGGGAGCGAGAGAGGGTGGGAGCGAGAGAGGGTGGGAGCGAGAGAGGGTGGGAGCGAGAGAGCGTGGGAGCGAGAGAGGGTGGGAGCGAGAGAGCGTGGGAGCGAGAGAGGGTGGGAGCGAGAGAGGGTGGGAGCGAGAGAGGGTGGGAGCGAGAGAGGGTGGGAGCGAGAGAGGGTGGGAGCGAGAGAGGGTGGGAGCGAGAGAGGGTGGGAGCGAGAGAGCGTGGGAGCGAGAGAGGGTGGGAGCGAGAGAGCGTGGGAGCGAGAGAGCGTGGGAGCGAGAGAGCGTGGGAGCGAGAGAGCGTGGGAGCGAGAGAGGGTGGGAGCGAGAGAGGGTGGGAGCGAGAGAGGGTGGGAGCGAGAGAGGGTGGGAGCGAGAGAGGGTGGGAGCGAGAGAGGGTGGGAGCGAGAGAGGGTGGGAGCGAGAGAGGGTGGGAGCGAGAGAGCGTGGGAGCGAGAGAGCGTGGGAGCGAGAGAGGGTGGGAGCGAGAGAGCGTGGGAGCGAGAGAGGGTGGGAGCGAGAGAGGGTGGGAGCGAGAGAGGGTGGGAGCGAGAGAGGGTGGGAGCGAGAGAGGGTGGGAGCGAGAGAGGGTGGGAGCGAGAGAGGGTGGGAGCGAGAGAGGGTGGGAGCGAGAGAGGGTGGGAGCGAGAGAGGGTGGGAGCGAGAGAGGGTGGGAGCGAGAGAGGGTGGGAGCGAGAGAGCGTGGGAGCGAGAGAGGGTGGGAGCGAGAGAGCGTGGGAGCGAGAGAGCGTGGGAGCGAGAGAGCGTGGGAGCGAGAGAGCGTGGGAGCGAGAGAGCGTGGGAGCGAGAGAGCGTGGGAGCGAGAGAGCGTGGGAGCGAGAGAGGGTGGGAGCGAGAGAGGGTGGGAGCGAGAGAGGGTGGGAGCGAGAGAGGGTGGGAGCGAGAGAGGGTGGGAGCGAGAGAGGGTGGGAGCGAGAGAGGGTGGGAGCGAGAGAGGGTGGGAGCGAGAGAGGGTGGGAGCGAGAGAGGGTGGGAGCGAGAGAGCGTGGGAGCGAGAGAGCGTGGGAGCGAGAGAGCGTGGGAGCGAGAGAGCGTGGGAGCGAGAGAGGGTGGGAGCGAGAGAGCGTGGGATAATGTGAGGAAAATAATAGAGCGAGGTATCTCAGCTTGCATCTTGTGCTGCTTCGCTATTTGTTACAAGGACCATTTATTATCACTCATCACTCATCACTCATCACCCTCCCTCCCCTCCCTCCCCTCCCTCCCCTCCCCTCCCTCCCCTCCCTCGCCCCCCTCCCCTCGCTTTCCTCCCTACCTTTCCTCCCTCCCCTCCTGCCCTCCACCTCGCCATCCACCCTGTGTGCGTGCAGGTGCTGGATCCGGGTCTGATCGGGGGGCTGTTCCTGCCCATGCTGGGAGCCATGCCAGACACAGTGCTCATTCTGGTGCGTGCCATGTGTATGTGTTGTGTGCCCTCTTGAGTCTTCACTTTTGAGTCCACTCAAAGTCGGTCTCATCTCATCGGGGGTTTGTTCCTGCTCATGCTGGGAGCCATGCCAGACAGAATGCTCATTCTGGTGCGTGCCCTCTGCCTTTCCCCCACGCCATGCTCTCTCTTGCCCCCTCGCTGCTCCTCCCATCGCGGGCCCTCCTTCTCCCCCACCTCCCACCTGGGTTCTATGCACACAGACGTATGTATGGGCACACACATGCACGAGTGCAACTCCCCACCCCACACACACACGCATGCACACATGTTAAGAACTGGGGTGGGGGGTGCAGCCCCCCACCCCACACACACACGCAGCGCTAAGAGTGGAGCTTCGTTTGTTCGATACTCTGTAATACACATTCTAGTTTCCTCTTCTACTATTTGGTGTTGCTGACAGTCTCCTCCATGGCTTGTATCCGTTTCTAAGGCGCTTGACAAACACACCCCATCCACTCTTCGCCACACCCACACCCCACACTCTACACCACACCCCACCCACACTCCGCACTCCCCACTTTTCACGCCCGCCTGCAGGTGTCCGGGCTGGGAGGCAGCAAGGAGGAGGCGCAGGAGGAGGTGCTGGTGGGCATGGGCGTGCTGGCGGGCAGCACCGTCATGATCCTCACTGTCGCCTGGGGGGGCTCCCTGCTCTGCGGCCGCTGCGACCTGGAGGAGAAGCAGAGGAGCGACGGGAGTGTGGATCTGGTGGCCAGGGATAAGACGCTCACCCGCCCCTGGGACCTGAAAGGCACAGGTGGGTGTCAGAAGCAATTGGGCATTCACCTCAGAAACTCAGTTGAGCATGCGCCTCATCAATTGCCTCACAATCTGAGGCGCCTCACTTAGAGGAGAAATGGGAGTGTGCAGTGGATATGGTTGCCAGGGATAAGACACTCACCCGCCCCTGGGACCTGAAACGCACAGGTCGGTTGTGTAGGCGTGTGTCTGAATTCGCCTTGGATTCGGATGCGCTTCAGCAATTGCCTCATTAATCTAGGCGGCTCAGAGGAGCCGCGGAGCATTGGCCAGGCCACGGCTCACACATTGATTGATGAGCACACGTCAAGTTGTCAACAGTGCGCACCCCTCAGCAGTGTGTTTCCGATTGAGTGTTTGTGGAGCTTCAACACTGCTCCTCGTCCGTCCCTCTTTGAATCCCAACTTCGTTGCTGCTTTGCATTCCCTTTGGCCTCTCTGTCTCCCTCCCGCCCTCCCGCCCTCTCCTCCCTGCGCCGTCATCCGTGTGTGGGTGCGCATGGCATGGCATGGCAGGGGTGACAACGGACGAGCAGACGCGCCTGGGAGCGTGGATCATGATGGCTACAGTAGTGCCCTTCCTCATCATGCAGGTACAAGATTTGAGGTGTTGTTGTCTTTTGAGTCGACTCAAATGGCCACAGTAGTGCCCTTGGCCATCATGCAGGTACCGTGTGCGTGCTGCCTGCACACAGCCGCTAGCTAGCTATCACCTTGCAGGCCCCACCTTGCAGGTACGTCCCTTCAGGTAGAAGAGCCCTTCCTCATCATGCAGGTACAAGGTTTGAAGCGCCGTTGTGCTGGTGGCGTGGCAAGGTGGTTGGTTCCACGGGTACTAGGAAGTCCAATACAGTCTCCACACGGAGGGTGCCTGCTGGGGTAAAGTAAAGTTAAAGTAAAGTTAAAGTAAAGTTAAAGTAAAGTTAAAGTAAAGTTAAAGTAAAGTACCTGCACTGCACCCCAGCAGGCAGGCACCCAAGGTTGCCACGACTGTTACCGTGGTATCAGCACCTTGCCACGCCGCCTGCTCTCTGCCCAGTTGTGGCGGTGCCACCAGCCATGGGTGCTACAGATTGGGGCCCTCCGTTGCAGGTGCTGCCGTGCAGAACCCAGAGTACCTTTGAGGCGCCTCAAAACCCCGAGTACCTGCGCCGAGTGGTACCCTGTGTGGATCCTCTCCCACCCACCACCACCACCACCTGCTGCCCATGCCTGCCCCCGTGCCCCTGCTTCTTGCCGAATCTACCTGCCTTGGCTTGGCCCCCCACGTGCCATCTACCCTCCTTCCTCTTCCCCCCTTCCCCCGCTCTTTTCCCCCTTCCCTCCTTCCCCACCTTCCCCCGCTTCCCATCCCCAACCCCCCCGCGCCTCGGCAGGTGCCGTTCATTCATGGGCAGGGGGCAGTAGTACCCCGAGTACCAGGCTCTGTGCGTGTGTGGGCTATGTATGTACACCTTCTCTCACCCCGTTTCTCCCGCCCCTCCCCTCCGCCACACCACCAGGTGCCGTTCATGGATGGGAGGCAGTAGTACCCCGAGTACCAGGCTCTGTGTCTGTGTCTGTGTCTGTGTCTGTGTCTGTGTCTGTGTCTGTGCTTGTGCGTGAGACCCAGCCACCGTCGCCGCCAACGTGACATCACGTGCTGTCCTCCCATTCCCCCCCCTCCCTCCCTCCCTCCCGCCCTCCCTCCGCGGCCCCAGGTGCCGTTCATAGATGGGGGGCAGTAGTACCCCGAGTACCAGGCTCTGTGCTTGGGACGTGCCCTCACCCCCCCATGCTGTCCTCCCTCTCCCCTCTCTTCCTCCCTCTCCCCTCTCTTCCTCCCTCTCCCCCTCTTCCACGCCCCTCCACCACACCACACCACCAGGTGCCGTTCATAGATGGGGGGCAGTACCCCGAGTACCAGGCACGCATCACGGCACTGCTGGGGCTTCTGCTCTCCACGACCGGCCTCGTTGCATATTGCGCCTACCAGGTGTGTGAGGGGTGCGCCTACCAGGTGTGTGAGGGGTGCGCCTACCACCACGTGTGTGCGTCTGTTTCCGAGCATTCGTCCAAGTAGGTTGGCCCCTGCACTGCTCGCACATCGCACCTCCCTGCTCCCTCCCACCCTAGCCGTCGTCCTCCCGTTTCTCTCTCACACCTGCTGCCGTCATTCCATTCCATCTCCCCTGCAGCATAGCTTCACAGGAATGCCTAATGCATGCTCCCTGCTGCACCTCATGCCTGCTCAACCCTTGTAACCACTTCACACCCAACCCCTGGCTGCTTTCGAGGCGCCTCAAATGTCACCTCGTGCTTGCTCTTGATCACTCTTAACACTCACCCCCCCGCACTTGCTCCTGCAGTCGTCCAAGATCCTCTGATCCACTACGCTCGCATGCACCGGGAAACCCCCGGACTCCCCTCCCCCTCTCTCCCTCCCCCTCTTCTCCCACCCCAGGTGCTGGCCCCCTGGCTGCAGTCCTCCAAGATCTACCACGCGCGCATGCACCTCATGCAACGCAACACCCACTCCTCTCCTTCCTGCCCACCCCACCGAACCCCTCCCCCTTCACCAGGTGCTGTCCCCCTGGCTGCAGTCGTCCAAGATCAACCACGCACGCATGCACCTCATGCGAGCGCGTGCCCTGCACCACCTGCACGACCTGGCGCTGCAGAACACGTGGGGCGGGCTGCTGCAGCCCGACGGCACGCCGAACCGCGAGACGATCCACCGCGTGTTCCGGCACTTTGACGAGGACGGCAACGGCACGCTCTCCCGCAGCGAACTCAAGGGGCTCGTGCTCGGCCTCAGCATTCGCAGCCAGGTGGGAGTGGGGGTGGGGGTTCGCAGCCAGATTTTGTTAGTGATTGAGCCCCCCCACTGAAGAGTCTCATGTTGACAAGTGTTTGAGTTGTGCCTGTGCTCGCATGTGGCTTATGCACGTGAAGCATTCTCTTTCTCACTGCAATCGCCTCTGTCTGTGTCCTTGTTTCGCATGTGTGCGTGTATGGGCGCATGCATGTGTGCGTGTATGGGCGCATGCATGTGTGAATGCATGTGTGCATGCATGTGTGAATGCATGTGTGCATGCATGTGTGAATGCATGTGTGCATGCATGTGTGAATGCATGTGTGCATGCATGTGTGAATGCATGTGTGCATGCATGTGTGAATGCATGTGTGCGTGTATGTGTGCGTGCACGTGTGTGTGTATGTGTTGATTCATCTCTGCATATACCCGCCCAGCAGGTACCAGGAGACGTGCCGGCAGACGATGAGGTGGCAGCATGGATGCGCGACTTTGACTCCAACTCCGATGGCGAGATCGGCCATGTAATCAGTCACCGAGAGAGAGAGGCGGGAGGGGGAGGGGGAGAGTGGCACGCACACGAGAAGGGGGTTGACATGCGAGGGGTGGGAACGGCATGGGACGATGGGGGGGTGCTACAGGAATGGGTTGGCATGTGGGGGGGGGTGGGTGGTGGAATTAGGTGGCTGGCTCGGGATGGTGGCTTGGCGTGGAGGGGTGGCATGGGGCGGGATGCATGGGTTGGGTGGTTTGGGATGGGTGCATGGGGGTTTTGTGATGTTCTGTTCTAAAGGTGGACTCACAGTGACTTCAATCCATGCCATTCGCTGCCATCCCATGCCATCCCGTGCCATGTTGTGGCACTTGCACCACCTCCCCCTGCCACTGTCCATGCCACTTCAACCCCCCTATAGCACACAACTGTATGGCTTCCCCTGGTAATCCTTCCCCTGGTAATCCTTCCCCTTTATCATGGCTTGCTTTGCATTCCCTTTCCCTGGAAAATCATGGCACGGCACGGCATGACATGGCACGGCATGGCATGGCATGGCATGGCATGGCACGGCACGGCATGACATGGCACGGCATGGCATGGCATGGCATGGCATGGCATGGCACGGCATGGCATGACATGGCGCACGCACACGGTGGTGACATGGTGGGGTGGCGTGTACCACAGGAGGAGTTCATGTCAGGCATGCAGCGGTGGATCACCCACCACTCCTCGCCCTCCCATCGCCCCTCCACCATGTCCCTCCTCAGAGGCGCCAGGTCACACTCTCTCCCCTCTCTCCCCTCTCCCCTCTCCCCTCTCCCCTCTCCCCTCTCCCCTCTCCCCTCTCCCCTCTCCCCTCTCCCCTCTCCCCTCTCCCCTCTCCCCTCTCCATTCACCCCTCTCCTCTTTTCATGCCCTTTCGTTTGCTTTCGAGACGTCTCAAACGTGACACGCCATGAGCGTGCTTTCCGTTTCATGCATTGGGCCGGGCCTTACATGCATGGTGCTACTCTTGCTCCAGTCCAAGAGGCAAGTGATTGCCGGCCCTGGGAGGGTTGAGCCAAGAAGGGAAGCAGGGAAGGAAGGATTGTGGGAGGGCGGAAGGGGCGCGAGGGGAGAGGAGGAGATTTGGAAAGGAAGAGGGAGGATGCGGGAGAGTGGACAAGCGTGACAGCAGGACAGCGAGAGAAAGGAGAGAGGGAGAGAGGAGAGCGGGAGAGAGGTAGAAAGAGGGAGAGAAGAGAGACAAGAGAGGAACCAAAGGTTGTGTTAATCCTTCATCCCTCCGTCCTCATCCCTCACTCCTCCTCCCTCCCTCCCTCCTCCCACCTCACACCTCTCCCTCTATAATTGTGCTGTAACGGCTGGAGGAGAGAGGTGAGAGGATCTAAAGGCGGTGTTGTATCCCCACCCATCGCCGCTCACCAAACACGTGTCATCACATCACCCTCACTCGTCACTCCTCACTCCCCCTTCCTCACTCCTCACGCCTCACCCCTCACCCTTCCTTTCTCAGTGCGGACAACAAGTTCTGGGAGGGGCAGCTGGCGAACGCCAAGGGGCAGCTGGAGGGGCTGGAGCAGGAGCTAGAGGAGGAGGTGGAGGACGAGGAGGAGGAGGAGGTCGTCAAAACGCCCGCACAGATCTACCGCGAGGTGCAAGACAGTGGGGCGCGGGTGGGAGGGTGGGTGGGTGGGGCATGACGTATGGCAAGGGGTGAGTTGGCACAGGTTGATTTTTGAGTCGACTCAAAAATCGACTCACTACACGTGAGTTGGCACAGGTTGATTTTTGAGTCGACTCAAAAATCGACTCACTACACGTGAGTTGGCACAGGTTCAGGCCTCTGTTCGCACGGACGAGGACGAGGACGAGAACGAGGACGAGGAGGATGAGGTGATAAAAACGCCTGTCCAGATCTACCGCAAGGTGTAAGGGTGTGGGGCGTGAGTGGGTGGGTGGGTGGGTGGGTGGGTGGGTGGGTGTATGTATGGGTGTGGTTGCACTGAGAGTTTGTGGGTGTGGGAGTGTGTGTGTATAAGTGGTCGTTTGGGTGGGTGCATGCTTGGGTGTGTGCATGGGTGTGTGCATGGGTGTACGCATGGGTGTAGGCGTGGGTTCTGGCCCCGCTTGCTCTGTTCCCTCTCGTGCCTTGTTCTCCTCTCCCTCTCCCTCTCTCTTCCCGTCGTCCTCACTCTCTCTCCGTCTCTTTCTCTCCCTCTCTCCCTCGTGCCGGTGCCCTCTGTACGCCCATCACCCACGGCAGGCGATAATGCTCATAGCAGGCGGGGCGGTGCTGGTGGGGTGCTTTGCAGACCCCATCATTGGCTCCATCACTGCCTTCTCCAGGTGCGCGCCATGCTGCCGCTTCTCATGCCGCTTCTCATGCTGCTGCTGCTGCTGCTGCTGCTGCTGCTGCTGCTGCTGCCGCTGCTGCTGCTGCTGCTGCTGCTGCTGCTGCTGCTGCTGCTGCTGCTGCTGCTGCTGCTGCTGCTGCTGCTGCTGCTGCTGCTGCTGCTGCTGCTGCTGCTGCTGCTGCTGCTGCTGCTGCTGCTGCTGCTGCTGCTGCTGCTGCTGCTGCTGCTGCTGCTGCTGCTGCTGCTGCTGCTGCTGCTGCTGCTGCTGCTGCTGCTGCTGCTGCTGCTGCTGCTGCTGCTGCTGCTGCTGCTGTCACTGCCGCCGTTGCTGCTACCGCTGCTTCTGCTGTTGTTGGTGTTTGCGTCGTGTGCACGGCACAGGACGGGCAGGCAGGAAAGGAGGCGCAGTCATGCACATCTCGCTCACTCTTCTCCCTTCCACTTTCCACTCGCCTCTTCCTTCCTCCCCACTCTCCCCTCAACCCTCTCTCGTCTCCTCACCCCCCTCCTCTCACCCCTCTCCCCTCTCTCCTCTCCCCTCACCCCCTGCACTCTGCCACGTCTCACATCCCTGCCTTCTTCGTGGCGCTTGTGGCGTTTGTGTCGACTTAATAGTCACTCTCCCCTCTCCCCTCTCCCCTCCCTCCCTGCGCCAGGGCATCAAACATCCCTGGCCTTCTTTGTGGCGTTTGTGGTGACGCCGCTGGCATCCCTGTTGCCAGCAGAGCGCAGCAGAGCACTGGCAGGCACAGTCTCACTCACTCCTCTCTCCTCCCAATGTCCCTCAACTCCCCTCGCCCTTCCCCCCCCACGCCAGGGCATCAAACATCCCGGCCTTCTTTGTGGCGTTTGTGGTGACGCCGCTGGCGTCCAACGCGAGTGAGCTCGTCTCCTCGCTCTACTTCGCCATGAAGAAGCGCCGCCGCACCGCCTCGCTCACCTACTCACAGGTCTACGGCGCCATCACCATGAACAACACCATGTGAGTCCGACTTAGGGGCTTTTGAAGCACGCCCTTATAAGGTCCCTATGGCCCTTGTAAGGTGCCTCGCTCACCTACTCGCAGGTCTGCGGCGCCATCACCATGAACAACACCATGTGAGTCGCACTTGTCCCTCCCCAACCCGTGGCTTCCGTTGGCTTTCGGGCCTCGTCTTTGCCATGGGGAAGGGCGCGTGTCATCTCGCTCACCTACTCGCAGGTGTACGGCGCCATCATCATGAATGAACGAACAACGATATGTGAGTCCGACCGAGGGCGCAGGGCTGCCGTGGCTTTCTGGCCTCCACTTTGCTTGGCCATGACGAAGCGCAAGCGCCCCGCCTCGCTCACCTACTCGCAGGTCTACAGCGCCATCACCCTCCTCCCCACCATCCCCTCTCTCCACCCTTCAGGTGTCTGGGCACGTTCCTGGCGCTGATCTATTTCCGCGGCCTGGCATGGGAGTTCAGTAGCGAGGTTGTTATCATCCTCCTCAACACCTTTGTGGTCGGCCTCCTGGGCGGCAGCCGCCACACCTTCCCCACCTGGATGGCGTTCCCTGTCCTCTTGCTCTACCCAGCGTCGCTTGCCATTGTGGCTTGTCTTGACACGTACCTGGGATGGCAGTGAGGGGAATGAGAGATGAGAAAGATTAGGTTAAGGGGGATTTAGGGGCAGAGGAGGATGGAGGGAGAGCAGAGTTAGCAATGACAAATCAAGGATGGTGAGTGGTGGGAATTGAAGTGGTGCCTTTGGGGATGTAGGTATCTCATATGGGATGGCATTGCTGATCTCCTGCTCTGCAGCATCTCCCTCATTTTGATTATTAGTGATACTTTAGCTGATATTGTAGTGATCTATACAAGTATGGCCATAAATGAGGGTCATGTTTAAGTAGTCAAGTTGGAGTACCGTCAAAAAGTATGTATCACCTTAGAAGTACAGCCAATCTCTTGGTTGTGACAGCTATTTATACGTGATCTTAACGCATGAACTTCACACAGAGAAGTAGTTTCGCCGGAGATCATGGAACTGGGAGAAGCTCAAAATTTGTACAGGCCATCACTTTGGTCACCTCTCCCACATAGCTGGAGCTAGCATTAGTTTGCTTACGTGCTTTCATATTATAATGGACGCTCCTCCATGTTACTGGATATTCCGATACATTCTCCAGAGATCTTGGAGTATTGACACAACCACTCTCGAACTGCCACCTCAGGTATTTGACAAGCTTGACGGTTCTGTATGGGCCTCTCGTTCAATGAGGTCCTCTCGTTACAGGCCCATGGTTGGCGGAATCTCAAGAGACCCCCATGCTTTGGCATGACCGAAGCAGCCCCAAACGACGGAACGCATTCTCATGGTTGCCACGTCACTTGAATGAATTTGTCCGCGAGCGACTCGGGACAACCAAGCTCAACCACCGCGAAAGTCCCAAGATTCAATTGCAAACAAACCTAGGGCACTCTTCCTACCCCATCTATAAACAGACAGAACTTCACTCTTACACCAACAGAAATACTATTAGGTGATAAAACAGAAGTTTTGGTTTCACTTCTCAGGGTCAACACTCTTGAGCTTCCGTCGTTCCACTGCAGCACTCATTCCTCACCATGGCGACCGCTCCCGTTTCCTCGGCGATGAAGGCCTCCCTCTCCACGAGCAAGGCGTCCCTCGCTTCCCCCGTGGTCTCCGGCCCTGCCTCCGCCAACATCGCGCGCTTCGACGGGCTCAAGTCGGCCTCCGCCTTCGCCGGCGCCAAGCCCACCCCTCAGGCCGCTCAGCTGGGCACCAAGTCCTCGGCGGTGCAGAGCAGCGAGGCGCAGCGCGGCGTGGTGCGGTGCGAGCAGACGGAGCCCGGCATGAAGCTGGTGTTCGTGTCGGCGGAGGTGGCGCCGTGGAGCAAGACGGGCGGCCTTGGCGACGTGCTGGGCGGCCTCCCCCCCGCGCTCGCCGCCAGGGGCCACCGCGTGATGACGGTGTCGCCGCGCTACGACCAGTACAAGGACGCCTGGGACACTGACGTCATCATCGATGTAGGTGCCGCACCCGGGATGCTGCTCAACTTAGTATTCCGCCCTGATTATCGATTTGAATTTAGTTTGCTTGAATTCATCGCAATCGCCAATAAGGATGAAATTCGCAACCTTGACGACCAAGCAAGATATGATGTTCCTGACACAAGGTTGCGCTGTCGCGTGGCGTGTCGTGCTGACGTGTGCAGGTGAAGGTGGGCGACGCGGTGGAGAAGGTGCGGTTCTTCCACTGCTACAAGCGCGGCGTGGATCGCGTGTTCGTGGACCACCCGTTGTTCCTGGCCAAGGTGTACGGCAAGACGGGCAGCAAGGTGTACGGGCCCAAGACGGGCGTGGACTACGACGACAACGTGCTGCGCTTCTCGCTCTTCAACCAGGCGGCGCTCATGGCGCCCAAGGTGCTGGCGCTCAACAACAACCCGTACTACTCGGGCACGTACGGCGAGGACGTGGTGTTCGTGGCCAACGACTGGCACACGGGCGTGCTGCCGGCGTACCTCAAGGTGCTGCAGCAGCAGGGCCACTTCCGCCAGGCCAAGGTCGCCTTCTGCACGCACAACATCGCGTACCAGGGCCGCTTCGTGCCCAGCGACTTTGACCGCCTCAACCTCCCCGACTCCTTCCGCCCCTCCTTCGCCTTCACTGACGGGTACGTTGCGGGTAGTGGCGGGGTCCGGGGTTCCGGATTGGTATGAATTCGTTGGGAGAAGCACTCAACCATGAATTTGCAAGAAGAAGAAAAAAAAAAAAAACAGAATCTTGGAATGCATGTTTTCTCTCCTTAAAACAAGTTGTGATTGAATCTGAGCCGCTCTAATCCCGATCCTTCTCATTTCTTTTGGCGCGCGCAGGTACGCGACGCCGGTGAAGGGGCCGAAGATCAACTGGCTGAAGGCGGGGTTCCAGGAGGCGGACATGGTGCTGACGGTGTCGCCCAACTACGCGACGGAGCTGCAGTCGGGGCCGGCCAAGGGCGTGGAGCTGGACGACGTGATTCGCGCCACGGGCATCAAGGGCATCGTGAACGGCATGGACGTGTCGGAGTGGGACCCGTCGGAGGACAAGTTCCTCGACGCGCGCTACGACGCGTCCAACGTGCTCGAGATCAAGCCGGCGCTCAAGGAGGCGCTGCAGGCGGAGGTGGGGCTGCCGGTGCGCGCGGACGTGCCGGTGCTGGCGTTCATCGGGCGGCTGGAGGAGCAGAAGGGGTCGGACATTCTGTCGGCGGCCGTGGAGGAGATTCTGGCGGGCGACGTGCAGCTGATCGTGCTGGGCACGGGCAAGAAGTACCTGGAGCAGCAGCTCGAGGCGCTCGAGGCCAAGTACCCCGACAAGGCGCGCGGCGTCGTCAAGTTTAACACCCCGCTGGCGCATCTCATGACGGCCGGCGCCGACTTCATGCTCGTGCCGTCGCGCTTCGAGCCGTGCGGGCTGATCCAGCTGCACGCCATGCGCTACGGCACCGTGCCCATCGTGGCGTCCACGGGCGGGCTTGTCGACACCGTGAAGGACGGCGTCACAGGCTTCCAGATCGGCGAGTTCAACGTCGACGTGCGTTCCCCTCGCTGCTCTGCCCTCGCCCCCCACTGACGTTCCTCAATTCCTCGCGTTCTTTTCTTTTCTGCGTTATACCTCACTAAAATGCTCCCCTCCAGTCCCCAATTCCCCTGCTTGCTTGCCACAATAGCACCTTGTGCTAACAATCCCCGTGTCTCCGTGTCCCTCTATCCCCCCTGTGCGCGTTTGGCGCAGTGCGAGGCGGTGTATCCGGAGGACGTGGCGACGCTGGCGGCGGGAGTGCAGCGCGCGCTCAAGGTGTTCGGCACGCCGGCGTTCGACCAGATGATTCTCAACGGCATGGCGCAGGACCTGTCGTGGAAGGGCCCCGCCAAGGAGTGGGAGGAGACGCTGCTCTCGCTGCAGGTCGAAAACTCCTCGCCCGGCCAGGCCGACGGCGTCGAAATCGCGCCCAAGGCCCTCGCCAACGTCGCCGCTCCCTAAACCTCTCCACAGCTTCCCCCCAAATTTTCACGTCTCCCTGTGCCATAGACTAATATGTACCTAATAAGATCGGCACTTGTCCCCTAGATGTCTCCGTGGGTGTTTGTTTTTTGCCTTGGCTGCCTAGTGAGAAGCCTGACAAGCAGGTTTCTATTGTAAAGGCCTTTTTGTCCCGCTCAAGTGAGCAACAGCCTGCTCATTAGTCTTCTGGGAAAGCTTCAAGTGCCACCTGCGTATTGCTGTGCTGCTCCAACTTGTTGAAAAACGGATGAAGAAGCCCATTTTAATTGAGACCTCCTATCGATGATCGTGAAAAGGATGTAACAACTGCATGAAGAAGCCTCCCTCATTTGAGTTAGCAAATCAGCCATGCTAAGCAATGTTATTATCATTCAGTTTCTGCCAGACAAGCTATCTAGTGAATGATTGATGCTTTTTAAGTCAGGGTGCCACTAAATAGTCCATACATACCATGTTCACGTTGGTTATATGGTAAGATGTAAGCCCAAGTGGAACATCAAAACTCTCTGTATGTGTAAGAAATTTTCTCGCTATTCCTTACCGCGAGCGTTACAGCGTACAGCAGCAGCCGTTGTTCGCCCATTACTGCTAACAGCCCTTCGCCAACTTCACGCGCACTGTTTCACCAGACCTCGCGCTGCTGGAGTAGCCGAGTCGGCCTACGCTTCGGGACTAGCCCGAACCTCGCGCCAGCGTAGCACTAGCTAGCTCGCACGCACCGCGTTACCATTTGCACATTTTCGCGTATAAGGGCATGTTCCTACGACCCCTTATCAGGCCAACCTCTTATCAGGCTCGCTTCACAACACACTGAAATTTCCCTAAACCCACAAAACCTTCACGAATTTTACCAGGCAAAAATGCGAAGCTGATACGAGGTGTCCCTGATAAGGGGCCGTAGGAACATGCCCTAAGTATTCGATCATGCTTTCGCTCATATTTTGTACTCATTGAACACCCTAGTGCAATCCTCGCTACCTCGATTCATTGCACACGTAACACTTTGTATCAGAGCCACTTTCTTTCGGACCGCGCATCTCCGCACCCCAGGAAATCAACTTTTGATTTTTCACTCGAAGGTGTCAAAATAGCGAACGAGAATGGATGAACTAGGAAAGAGTTGGGTACAAGTAGTAACCCTAATTGGGTTGTACCCCGTATGGGCTACCCTCACTACAGCCTACACAATCTAAGCACTATATAATTTTGACACACCCCCATAGGCAAAGTGGGGGAGAACAAGTGGTATATAGAGGTACAAGCAAAGTCACGCAATGAGCAAGTGAGGCAAAGTAGGCACAAGGCCTAAAACAATACAGAAACGATGATGAACACCAGACTGAAGTGCTTTCGTGAATATATCAGCAGTGTTGGCCCGAGTGGCCACGTAAGTAAGACAAAGCTGGCCACCCTGCTGCAACTCTCGAGCAAGGAAATAACGCAGAGCGATGTGCTTCGTTCTGTGCTCTAGTCTGTACTCCTGACACAAGGCAATCATGGCCTTGTTGTCTACGTACAGAACTGGAGAAGAACGAGGCCGCTCTCCCAAGTCGGTCAGCAGGTAGGTGAGCCAGCGTAACTCCTGTGCAGCCATGGCCCCTGCATAGATCTCAGCCTCACAACTGGAACTCAGAACAAAAGACGAGCGGGTAGACCGCCAAGAAACAGAGCCGGAACCAAGGCTGAAAGTGTAACCTTGTGACGACCGCAGCATAGCCAAGTCATCAACCGAAGAAGCGTCTGCGTGTCCAGTGAGGACAACTGGACCCCTTCCTCCAAGCACGAGCCCCATGCCCAACGTACTGCACAAGTAGCGCAACACCCTCTTAGCGACCTCCCAGTGCTCTGGTCGGTGTCTCCTGGGCACAATGTAGCGTGCCAGGATGCTAAGAGGGTAGGCAAGGTCAGGTCGAGTGCAGGTCATCAGGTACATGAGGCAGCCCACAAGCTCTGGATACAGGCCACTCGGCTCTACGAACTCGTCCGAAGGTGGAGCTGAGAGCGAGTGACCGGTAGGCAGAGGAGTGGACTGTGGCTTCGTTCTGTGCTCTAGTCTGTACTCCTGACACAAGGCAATCATGGCCTTGTTGTCTACGTACAGAACTGGAGAAGAACGAGGCCGCTCTCCCAAGTCGGTCAGCAGGTAGGTGAGCCAGCGTAACTCCTGTGCAGCCATGGCCCCTACATAGATCTCAGCCTCACAACTGGAACTGAGAACAAAAGACGAGCGGGTAGACCGCCAAGAAACAGAGCCGGAGCCAAGGCTGAAAGTGTAACCCTGTGACGACCGCTGCGTAGCCAAGTCGTCAACCCAAGAAGCGTCTGCGTGTCCAGTGAGGACAACTGGACCCTGTCCTCCAAGCACGAGCCCCATGCCCGATGTACTGCACAAGTAGCGCAACACCCTCTTAGCGGCCTCCCAGTGCTCTGGTCGGTGTCTCCCGGGCGCAACGTAGCATGCCAGGATGCTAAGAGGGTAGGCAAGGTCAGGTCGAGTGCAGGTCATCAGATACATGATGGAGCCCACGAGCTCTGGATACGGGCCACTCGGCTCTATGGACTCGTCCAAAGGTGGCTCCACTGGGTACCTTCAGGAAACGACCCAGTGAAGCCAGGTGGGCGGCACAGCCAGATCTCCTCGTGCACGCTACCCTGCAAGAAAGCTGTGTTGAAGTCAAGAGACTGCAGCTCGTAGTCACGCTGCGTGGCGACGTGCAGCAACACTAGAAGAGTGGTCATCTTCGGGTTAGGGGAGAAGTTCTGGAAGAAGTCAACTCCCTGTCGCTGACTGAAGCCTCGTGCAGCGTAACGAGCCTTGAAGACAGGCGGAGAACCCGGCGGCCGCTTCACCCTGAAAATCCACATGCCATCGACTATTTTCGCCCCAGAAGGGGGAACGGCGTCGACGTAGGTGCCTGTGGACTTCCATGATGCCATCTCTGCGTCCATGGCTGTCTGCCACTGAGAGGAGTAGGGACCCGTAATCGCCTCTGCGTAAGAGCGCGGGGTCAGGATGTCTGGTGCATCCGGGTCTCCCTCAGGTGCAAGCAGCATGGCCACGAGATGAGGTACAGCAGCTGCAAGTCCTCCTGCCTGCCCTCAAGGACGTCCGTGCCAAGAGCACACTCACCCCCGACGGACGGAGGACAGTCAGACTCAGACTCAGCGGCGTAGTCGAGACGACAGGCGGCAGACGCAGCAGTGGACTCAAACGAAGGGTCAGTGACAACAGTGGCTAGAAGACGAGGGACAGTAGGACTGGCAGCACGAGCTAAGTAAGACTCATGGTCAGGAACGGCAGGAAGAGAGGACGTAGGAGGAGGCGGCAGGGGAACTCGCAGTGGAACAGAGGAAGGACGAAGTGCCATAATGTGAGTGCCGGGGACAGGAGGAGGATGAAGACGAGGAAAACGGCGACCAGTGCGAACAGCGCGAACAGGTGAGGCAGGACGAGACTGAGGCTCACGCAGTCTCTTAGAGAGTTTGTGTGCTCAGCGTAAGGAGAAGGAGCAGGCACTGGGGAGTCTGGCGGTAACTGTGGCTGCGACTGGTGAGGCGGTGGACACAGTAAGCTGGGAGTAAGGCCAGTAGAAGACGGGAGACTAAGAACCTGGCGAAGGACCGAGTCAGGTGGCGGCAGAGACGACGGCTGCGGTGGAACGAAAAACGGGCGCTGCTGCACAGTGCCTCCAGCACCAGGACCACCAGCTCCAGCATCCCCAGCGCCAACACCTCCAGCTCCAGGGTCTCCAGCTCCAGCGCCTCCAGCACCAGCGCCTCTAGCGCCAGCGCCTCCTGCTCCAGCGCCTCTAGCTCTAGTGCCTCCAGCTCCAGCTCCTCCACCTCCAGCGCCTCCAGCGCCAGTGCCTCCAGCTCCAGGGTCTCCAGCTCCAGCGCCTCCAACACGACCAGCTCTGGCAGCTCCAGTACCCCTAGTACGAGCACCTCCAAGACCAGCAGCTCCAGCACCTCCGGTACCTCCAGCTCCAGCAGTAACTCCAGCACCTCCAGGACTAGAAGCTTCAGCACCTCTAGCTCCAGTGCCTCCAGCTCCAGCGCCACAAGCTCCTGTGCCTCCAGCTCCAGGGTCTCCAGCTCCAGCGCCTCCAACACCACCAGCTCCAGCAGCTCCAGTACCACTAGTACGAGCACCTCCAGGACCAGCAGCTCCAGCACCTCCAGCTCCAGTGCCTCCAGCGGCAGAGCCTCCAGCTCCTGCAGCGCAACTCCTAACGCATGTGCGCTGAGCAAACCACTCGCGCAGCGGCTGCGGTGAGAGAGGCTCCCGCCGGTGAGACAGTCGTGGCGAGGCACCCGCAGGAACTCCGGCAGATTCCGCACCTTCAGACTCAGCACCCCCAGGCTCTACACCCTCAGGCTCAGTACCCCCAGGCTCCGCACCCTCAGGCTCAGCACCCCCAGACTTTGCACCCTCAGACTCAGCACCCCCAGGCTCAGCACGCTCAGGCTCAGCACCCCCATGCTCCGCACTCGCAGGCTCAGCACCCCCAGACGCAGCACCCCCAAACGCAGCACCTCTAGCAGCACCTGAGTCTACAGCGACCTCGACAGGCACAGCCAAGGGGAGTGGGTCTACCTGAGACACACCTGAGGGAGCAGGACCCTGAGGGGGGAGGGGGTCTGCCGGAGGGGGACCTAGAGCGAGGAAGAGCGGGGGGGGGGGGGCAGAGGGGCTGTGCGGTAGGGGAAGAGATGGTAAAAGGGAACCGACTCGTCAAACGTGACATCCTGAGAGGGGAGGACACAGCGCGAGGTGGGGTGGTAAAACTGCCAGCTAAAGCGTCAGGAGGAAAGTCAAGGAAGACGCAGGGAATAGCGCGGGAGGAGAGCTTGTCCGTGGAAGTATCGCGAACAAAAGCACGAGAGCCCCAGACCCGGAACACCGACACATCGCCAACCTTCCCCATCCAACGCAGTGTAGGCGAGGTCTCCGGCAAGGAGACACGGGGCCAGAGGTT